CCCCCGCCCCTCTTGGGCTTGCCCCCTTGGGGGGGGGGGTGCGATCGGGATCGCTGGGTCCATTCTCACCTTGCCACGAGGGCTCGGCGCGACCGCCGCGGGGCGTCCCCTCCGCCGGGTCCCTGCCCCAGGGGCGGCCGGGCCGGGCCGGGCCCTTCCCCTGGCCTGGGCTCCCGCTGACTCTGCCCTTCCCGCCTCCCCCAGGTTCACATCGAGTCCCTGGAGGGCATCGCCCCCGAGGACCAGGTGGTTCTCCTGGGGGGAGCGCCCTTGGAGGACGATGCCGTCATCGGGCAATGTGGCATCAGCGACCTCAGCACCCTGGAGGTGGCTGCCCGCGTGCTGGGAGGTGAGTAAGGAGGCCCGGGCTCCCCAGAGCGGCCCACCCTGCGGAAAGCCCGTCGACGCGAGGGGGCTTGCTGGAGCAGCTGAGGCCTGGAGGACCTGGCAGCGAGGTTGCAGGCCCGGCGTTTTGACCGCGGCAGCTGCCGGCACCACACGGGCCTGGGCCTGGCTTCAGCAGGGGCTGGCGCACACGGGGGACACGTTCGCTAGCGCCTGTGAGGGGCAAGGTACCTGCCTGCTGGTGGGCTGGCTGTAGCACAGCAAGGTGGCAAAGTGCTCGCGCTTCCCGTGCGGGAGGCTGTAGGACGTGCCCTCGCCCACCTGTGCCTCTGCGTCCTCCGGGATCTCGGACTCTGTGGGCCGTGGGGTCCGTTCCCCATCCCTCTGGTTGTTCACCGGTGGTACGGGAAGCCAGGATGAGTCCCACGTCCTGCTGCAGGGCCTGGGCATGTCAGGGCTGTGCGTGTCCTGCCCGGCCTCACAAACATCCTTGCCCTGGAAGCTCTGTGCTTGGCTTGGGCCTGCTACAGCAGCTGAGGCCTGGAAGCACTGTGGGTGGAGTGAGTTTGCTGGTTCTCACAGCCACTCTCTCTCCCCTAGGTAAGGTCCATGGCTCTCTGGCTCGTGCTGGGAAAGTGAGAGGCCAGACCCCCAAGGTAAGCCCTGCCTGTGGGTTGGGGGCGGGGCTGCAAGCCAAAACTCCTGGCTTCTATTCGACGGTGCGGGGAAGCTTGGGGTTGGGTTAGGGTTAGAGCCAGGTAGCTGGGGGCCAGGACTCCACTTGCCTGAGCACCCCCTGGGCACTGCCCATTTCATCCGGGATGTGGCTGAGATCCTGAGAGGCAGGAGCCTGGCTCAGGAGAAGGATTACACCCTGGCCACCCTTGCCCATCTGCTGGGCCAAACCAGTCAGCAGCTTCCCACCAAGGAGCGGTCAAAGGTGAACAGTGCCTTGAGGAAAACCGAGTTCCTGCTCTCCTGGGTCAACGACAACAACATCCTTGTGTGCTCCACTGGTGGATTATATGGACACTAGGAACCAGGACTGTTTGGGGTCCTTTCCAAGCTCCAGGAAGATATTTGCTGAGGGAAGAGGTGGCACATCTCAGTGTTAAAGTTGAGAGAGATGCCAGGACTCCTGGGTTACTTTACAAGGTCCAGGAAGATATTTGGGGAAGGGGGAGTGGTCCTCAGGGTTTAGACTAGGGGAGCTGGGACTCCCACCCATGTATTGCTCGCTTCTCACGCTCTCCTCCTCCCTCCCCTCCCCTCCCCTCCCTGCAGGTGGCCAAGCAGGAGAAGAAGAAGAAGAAGACGGGCCGTGCCAAGCGGCGCATGCAGTACAACCGCCGCTTTGTCAACGTTGTGCCCACCTTTGGCAAGAAGAAAGGCCCCAACGCCAACTCCTAAGTAATGCCATCCCGTGTCCAATAAAGTAGACAGCACCCAAGCTCTCTCCTGATGGTGATTTCCTCATGGGAGTGTGGGGGGAAGAGAACTCCACTGGGTTTCAGCCAGTCACTCTGGGCAGGGCCCTGCTGTGGGGGTGACTAGCATTGGGCCCAGCAAGCCCTGGTCTCACGGTTAAGTAAGGCTGGAGATCATAGCACCTGCTGTGGGGCTTGACCAGGGCTCATGGGGATGGAGGGGAAATAGGCAGGTCTAAGGCCCCGGCGTATGTTACAACTAACACCTGATTGGCAGTTAAATGTTCCCTGGTCAGAAGCGAATGTGACGAATGGCATGATGCAGCAAGGCTTGAGCTTACACATTTTTGTGCAAGAACTTGGTAATAACTTTGTGTCCGGTTCCTATCATACCATGAATGTAGCGTGTGCCAGGCTGGGGCTTTGGGAGGGAGGGGGGTGCCTCTGTGGAGACCTGTCAGCTGATGGGGCTTCCAACTGCAGGGGTGCATCACGCACTTTCATGGTGTGAGTGTGGGGATCCCTGCTCAGATCCCATTTGCCTTGACTTGCACATCTGCCAGGCCTGGACATGGAGCCTGCGCTCTGTTCTTGCCTGGAGTCTCGGAAGGGGGAAAGGGGCAATAACAGTCTTTCAAAGCCAATGGTAGTGGAATATAGTGCTGGTGTAGCCATGGTGGTCTGGAAATAATGCAGAAGGTGAGGATGACACAGGAGTTTTGGAAGACTTGGGTGTGGGGGATGACTCCTCAGCATCTCTGTGATTTGAGGCTTTGCCCCACATGCACCCCATTGAGGTGATGCTTGTACCAGTCCAGATGACCTTCACCACTGCCCCTAAACCAGCCCCTTAGGTGGCAGCCCAAGCCTAGCAGGCCATTGGGCTTGGTTAGAGTACAGTAGCTGGACCTAAGACTCCTGGGTTCTGTTCTAGGGCAGGGGGAAATTGGGGTTGGGTCTTGGGATTATAGAGCAAGGCGGCTTGGGGCCAGGACTGCTGGGATCCCTTCCAAGGCCAGGAGGATGTTCATGTTGGGGGTATTGGGGTTAGAGTGGGGGAGCCAGGACTCCTATGCCATTTCCCCGGCAGTCCCCTCTGGTTTCTAGCTGATACAGCTGCAGGCTCTCTCTCTCCCCCAGCCCTGCCATGCAGGTGTGGTGGGTGGGGGTGCTTGGTGCTGAGGGGGTCTCTGCAGGGACCAGGCGCTGGGGAGAAAGGGAGCCTGAGCCAGCCTCGTGGGGGCAGGGCTGGCTCCAGGCAGCCACCTCGGAGATGAGGCAGAGCGAGGGGCTTCCCCACCCAGCAGCAGAGGCTCCCGCAGCCGGCGGGGAGGGGGAGACTGGGACATCTGCACCAGGGCGCACGTGGGTCTAAGGCACGTGTTGCAGCGGGGGCTTCCGCCAAGAGCCGAACCTCGACTTCCGTGCGGCGGAAGGAGCCGAAGCTCCAGGTCCGAGAGCGGCCGAACCCAGCTGAAGCCGGGGCGGAAGAAGCCGAAATGCTACCGGAAATTGCCGAAGCCCGAGAGGGAGGGCTGAACGTGGGGCGGAGGAATCCGAAGTGCTGCCGGAAACTCCCGAAGCTGCGGCGGAAGGAGCCGAAGCGCGGAGTGGGAAGAGCCCCCAAGATGGCGGCTGAGTGCGGCCTGTGCTGGCGCGCCGAGGCGCCCTACACCTGCCCGCGCTGCCACCTGCGCCTCTGCTCCCTGCCCTGCTACCTTGGCCACGGCCCCTGCGCCCAGGCCTTCGCCCAGCGCCAGCT